TAACATTTCGGCCTTTTCTTGTAAATTATATAAGTTTGCAAAGAAAGGTCATGTAGAGCTGGGAGATGACTCATTTTAATCAGAAATTTGCGGGCTACGGTTATGCCTTATTAAGAAAAGATTTTGGCTATTTTTTATTGAAATTCGAAGGTGATGCAGTTCAGCCCAAAAAGTGCAAAAAACGTGTACGTCAGGTACGAAGAAATCAGTCCGTTACGTTTTTTACTTTGAAGATTTCTCGATGACCAAGCGGTAGTTTTTCCTCCGGTTTTCAGTATAGGGAAGTTCGAAGTCCGAGCTACAAAATCAGCTATTATAATCCCATCGTGAGTGTACACAATCGCTGAACTTTTCACTTTTCTCGGATACTTCAAAGTTCACTTCTGTTTTTTGTAAGTCCGTTACGCTAGGCATTTCGTCTCGCCTGGCGTAGCGTTCCAACGAAATCTATTCTTTTTTTCGACGTTGGTAGAGCTAAGTGTCTTGTATAATTCTGTAGTAGAAGCAAGCTCTGAAGTTCTTTTGTCTTTGTAGAAAACGTCACGGACAGAAAAAAGAGTAAGTCCGTTACATTTGGAATAGCCGCCCAGATTCAGGATAATAAGCAAAAACTAAAAATTCGTTTTTGTGGTTTGATGGCACTTCTATCCTCGACAGTGATTACACCACAAAACTTAAATAAATATTTTCTAATTCAATTCAGCTTATTCATTGTCGTGTTCATGTTCTTCAGTTATGCTTATTATCAGCATGTAAAGATCTTCATGAAGTATCAGGAAGTCTATCTACGTTAAAATCGTTGATAAATTTCATAAACCGCTCTTCCGTAAGATTAGCAAGATTTTCGGATATACAACTGGTATTAAAACAGCCACAATTAAAATTAATTATACCAAATGATACTCGTTGGTTATCATTCTCTAGAGCTGTTACAGCAGCAGTGCGGTGTTATGAGCCTCTGTTAATAACCCGTGAACAGGTACCAAACGAACGAGGGGAAGACAATCCCGACGCTCTTGATTTATTAAAAATTTTACAAGATAAACAAACAACATTGATTTTACATATTCAGGAACCAATTTTAGAAACGCTTTTAATATTATCTAAATCAATTTAAACCGAAAATTCAGATTTTAAGAAATTAGAACAAATATTTGAATTAATTGAAAAAATGAAGAGGAAAATAGCACATTTTTTCATATCCCAATTTATCCATTGTTTGTGAAATATTTCTTTGTACCCCAGCCACATGGGAAAGAGACTTTAGTACGATGAATCAAATTCTGTATAAGTTAAGAAATTGTCTAACTGCAGAACTTGTTCAACAATTAAACGTATTCATGTTTTGCAGCCAATTTATTTTGAAACTGAAATTTATTTCATCTATTTCAACGTATTAGAATTTTGTTCGTTCAAATTTATAGAAGCATTATTACTGTTTCTTTTATACAGCTTACTCAGTTCAATCCCTATAATACTTATACTACTAGTTCCAGACTCGAACTACACTTTGAAAATAATGGGTATTTTAAGAAATGCTTAAAGCGTTCGGGAAACCACACCGAACGAATATAGATTCACGAAAGTACCGTTAAAGCGTTAGGGAAAGGGTTTTTCACGTCTCTATAGTGCACTGTTATACCCTCGTGAATTTCTGTACTAGGCATGCACCGACGTCGATTAAAAATCGAAAATAATCCGAACATCGATTATTCGATTATTCGAAATCGGTGCATGTCTATTGTGTACTCTTAGAAATGGAATATGATTCGTTTTATCTTTTCTTACGTCACCACGCAACAAGCGCTTTGCATGTTAACTTCGTTCCATTGACTGTAAGTCTATGGTCATAGAAAATAAAGTGTTTGTGTGTGTGTGTTTGTCCGTACAGAGGTGTGACGGACGTACATACATATAGTCATGTGGCAGTGTGACGGACGTAA